TGTGGTGCTGAGGAATCAAACCCAGGGCCTCATGCATACAAGGCAAGCACTCTACCACTGAGCCACCTTCCCAGCCCCACAGGGACTCTTTAGTCAATTAAAAACCCAGGAAATGAAACAGTCTGCATATTTCAAGTGTTGAATAACTACATATAACAGGAGACTGCCAACTGGTACCACATTGAAGTAGATCAGAGCCCTCCACCAGCAGGAGAGTTCTACTGGACTGGGCTGCCCTTGTCAGTGTTAGGATGGACAGGAAAGTCAAATTGGAGGGCTGAGTAAGATGAAAAAATCTCTCTTGTCTTACTTTTTGAGGTTCTCTTTCCACTCACAAGTATCATCATCACCTCAAAACAAAGCAAGTCACTTACTAGCCTCCCATGTGTGCATTTTTTCATGTTCTTTCCCATTGTATGCCCTGCTTCTTACAATGCTGAACTACTCTCCTTGGATCCATACTTCTTGGGACAGGGATTCTGAATCATTCAGAATCACTGGATGGTCCTCGGTGATTCTTCTTAATGAACATGACCATGTCACAGCATTAGTAAAGAAAAAAAGAATTTAAATAGATGCCAAAGAACAGGACTTATTAATCAAGAATTTACTTTTAAGTATATTTACATTTTGTAGGCAGAATGAAGTTGGAGTACAGTAGTAGAGAAGTTACCTTGAACGTATAAGGTGCTGAGTATGATCCTCAGGACAAAATTTTGACACAAAAATGCTATACAAGCTGATTGCTGGTGGCTTAGCAATGCAGCAGGCTGAGATCTAAGGATCATGATTTGGAGCAAGTACAGGCAGGAGAGTCCATGTAACTCTTATCTGTAATTAACCACCAAAAGCAGAAAAAAAGCCAGATGTGGAACTATGTGGTAGAGTGCTAGCCTCAAGCAGAAATAGGTCAGAAATAGTGCCCAACTCCTGAATTCAAGTCAAGCCCTCAAACCAACACACACACACACACACACACACACACACACACACACACACTACTTTACAAAATGAGAGTAACTTAATCACTCAACTGTTTTTCTTCTCTTAGTTTTAATAAGAAAGGGACATTCATGGTAAATACTCTTACATAAGCTAACAAATTTAATGTTTATAACAAACCTGTAAAACAGGTATGATTATTTTCCCACCTGCCCACCACATCCCCTTCTTTAAAAAAAATTATCTTTAAGTAGTTGTACAAAGGAGTTGCCATTGAACAAATGACATATCTTGCACATCTTCTTTTGAGACAGGGTTTTGCTATGGAGCCCAGTCTGAACCTGAAGTCAAACTCCTTCTGCCACAGTCTCCTATGTGCTGGGTACCACAACAACTGGCTACTGTTTTCATTATATGAATGTGGAAGTTTGAGACACACTAAAGAGAACTAACATATCCAAAATTAAAGTTAGCAAGTTTAAGAACTAGGATATAAACCCAGAAATCTGCTCCTACATTCTTGCTTTCAAATGTTAGTATAAATCATTTCACATGTCTGATTTAAGGTGACTTTCTGAATTTCCAGGTTTGGCTGGTTTGGAATGGATTCAGAAGAAGTGTCAAAACCTCTCCTCAATTACATTGGAGCTGGGCTTTCCATAGTAAGGTAACATGGGGTGGGTTAGCCATTCCTCCAAATATTTACAGTACATTTTGATCCTAATGTGTTTTCATTCTCTCCGAACTATATTTCATAAAATATGCATGAGTTTTATTCAGGTTCTTAATTTAGCATGACAGATGTATGTCCAAAGACAAAAAAGTACCAGGTCAGGGGTCAGGAGTCGCAGGGCTAGAAAGCTATAAGACACCAGAAAAATCATTTAAGACATTTCATTATCATCATATGTAGACAATCATAAAATGTATCTCATGAATAAGAATCAATATATAACTTTGCTAATTAAACATGATTATAGCTGAGTAATGGTGGCTCATATTGTATTCCTAGCTACTCAGGAGGTTTAAATCTGAAGATTAAGGTTCAGAGCTACCCTGAGAAGGAAAATCAGAGAGACCTTTTAATCTCCAATTAACAAGCAGAAAGTCAGAAGTGGTAGAGAACCAATCTTGAGCTAGAGTACAAGACCCTGAGTTCAAACTCCAGTTCCAGCACAGAAATAAATTACTAATATAGATAAATGAAAATTGCTATACAAATAAATCTTAGAATGGCTTCCTGATAATATTCATTATTGGTTCTCTTTTCTATGTATTAATACAGTTCTCCTTTTCCAAGGGGGATATGCTTCAACTAGGCTGCCTATATGTGTACAAAACCTTAGATAGATAGTAATTGACTACATAAACTTCAGGATAGGGTAGCTACTGTGCCATGTCTGTTACCAGCTTTCACTTCCCTGTCTTTTTACTCATTGTTTTTAATTTAGCTATGAGCACTGTTTCACCACTGAATACACACACTCATTTTGCATACCTATATTTGGAAGTATCTGACTATATGAATGAGGATAGAAATGAATGCATCTCTAAATGGTGACATTTAATCAAAAAAATCCTAATAATAATTAGGTCACCTTAAATTCAGTTCTTTATCCTTGCTGGTCCTCATTTATATTCCCTCTTATTATTTCACATGATGAATAGCACTGCCCAGAAGGATCTTAATACTTTTTTATTCTTCAGGGAGGAACAGTATATTTCCCTTCCTCCAACAATGATGGTACTCGGCTACACTCAGGAACAACCTCTGTGTCACTAGAGAGTAGTCCCAGGGCAATAGAAAAAGTAATATAGCTTATTCTAAAATAATAAATTTTTGACAGCTTTTGGTTAGAGGCAACTCACACAGAATTCTATCTGTGAATGGGTCTCTCAAAAATAATTTCTTCATGACACAAAATTATAATCTAGCATGTCCAATTTTCACCTTAGTGTCAATTTAAGTTATCCAACATATTTAGTATTATTTCTCCATATTTTCTTCCTTTAATAAGAGTATATGCTCTTTACAGGTGCCAGTGGCTCATGCCTGTAATTCTACCTACCCAGGAGGCTGAGATCTGAAGACTGAAGATCTCAGCCAGCCCAGGCAGGAAAGTCTGTAAGACTCTTATCTCAAACATCAAAAAGCCAGAAATTGAGATGTAGCTCAAGTGGTAGAGTGCTAGTCTTGAGCAGAAAAGCTCAGGGACAGCATCAGTTCTGAGTTCAAACCCCAGGACCAACCAGCAAAGAAAAAGGAGTACATACTCTAAAATTACATCTCAAATACTCATGTTCTGTTACTTCTTCCTATATGATATTGGGAAAATTACTTTATTTTTCAAAACCTTTCTTAGATTTTGTTATCTGTGGAAAAGGCTTAATAAGCCAGGCACAAGTGACTCACTCCTGTAATCCTAGCTACTCAAGAGGCTAAGATTTGGAGGATCTGATTTAAAGCCAGTCTAGGCAGAAAACTTTGTGAGACTCCCATCTTCAAATTAACCAGCAAAAAGCAAGGCTGGAGGTAAAGCTCAATAGGAAGAGCATCAGCTGAGCAAGCACAAGGCCCTTAAGTTTAAACTTCAATATTGCCAAAATGAAGTAGACTAGTAGCACCAATCTCATAGATCAACTGAGGTTCAAACTTTGTATAGTGCTAGCCACATAGCTAATGCTCCTCACAGTCTAACCTTTAAAGAGTTAGATAATTTCAAGTGTTGCCTTCACTTTTGTCCTACATGTTAAATCCATCCATAATGTCACTCTAGAATTCAATAGGATTTGAAAAAAACATTGTTGACCCAGTGAAGCAAAATTTAGAACTCAGTGCTGTCAGTCACTTAGAGCCCACACTCCAGTCAAAGTGACAGTATAGTCACCTTTGCCCTGGGATGGAAGTGTCACCAAAACCACTGGAGCTGCCACCGAATCAGTCATAGATGTGTGCCTCCTATAAGCAGAGCCTTACTGCCAATGGAGTTTGGGAAACATGGTATGTATTCTTTTCTGAAATCTAAGAACTGAGTCTTCTCAGAAACTGAGGTCTTCTCCTGAGTTTAAGGAAGAGAATGTCAGGGCATGAGAAGAACAGATGCCAAGAAACAAAATCCAGAACACTGGCTTAAGTGGAGATTGCAGAGGCAGAACACTTAAAAAGTCAGCTTTCCCTTCTGATTAAAATAATAACAAGGAGCTGCAGATTTTCATAGTCTGCTGTCTGCTTTTCTCACTACTGTACTTGCTCTCCATGGAGGGCTGGGAATGCTCCCCAGCTTACACTGTTTGGTTACATTCCAAGAAACCCTGCACTCTTGTTTCTAGCCATTATCATTCTGCTGGGCTACCGTCCTTGTAGATGTCTGAACACCAAAATGAACTAACTCTACCAATACAGCCAAAAGTAGATTCCTCCTCAGTGTCCTGTAGAAGACAGTGGGAACAAGCCCTGAGGGTCAGCAGGCCACCAGTATAGCACTATGAGGTCCTTCCCCTCTGTCCTCAGCATTCTCCCACCAGAATGTTCTGCACTAGATGCTTCCCTGCATACGATTCCTCATTCCCAGTTCCCTTTCTTGAACAAGATATTAACCACATGCATTCCAATTAAAAAATTTCATGTCTTTGACTTTTTTCTCTTTATACTGTCCCCCTTAATTTAGCTCCAGAAAATCCATTCTAAAGATTTTCTAGTTATCTCTCCTCTGCTCCTTGTCCATCATCACTCACCCATATTTTCACTCCCAATTTCCTTGGTCTCCTTCTTTCCTTTGGCTGGAATGGATTGCACATAGCTTCTCCTGTTTCGAGCCTTTGGAAATTCCTTATTGGATTGGCCAGCAGAGTATTCTGATCTAGCCATCCTTCCCAGCTCAGCTTTCGCCTTTCTGCCTGCTCCATGCAATCTTCCACCCAGGATTATTTATCACACCATATTTTCCTCAGCTTCCTTGGCCACTCTTGTTTTCTTCTTTCTTTTTTGGGACAGAGTTTTACTATGTAAGCCCAGGGGTCCACAAAGTCATGATCCTCCTGCCTCCACCTTCCCAAGTGCTAAGGTTACAGGCCCCATCATACCCAGCCTTGGCTGCTCTATTAAATCAAGACTTACCATCCCATGGGATATTTTCTCATTTCCTTGTTTCTAGTTAAAACAAATCTTCCCTAAACTACCATGGCTTATTGTACTTATATTGTTGAGTTTCTTAAAGAGTCCACTTTGTATTATTTATACAGCTTTCTTTGTCTTCAACATGATATCCACAAAAGTGAGATCCATCATTTTCTATGTACAACATCCCTCTCTCCACCCCCACCAGACTTTCCTCCAATATGTTGACCCATATATGTTGACACAAATATACTGCTTGTTGCATTCAGTTGTTTGTGTAAACTCTTTTTGTCTGTCTGTTTGTCTCTCTCTCTCTCTCATACATACATACACACACACACACACACACACACACACACACAAGTTTCGATGATGTTCATAAGCTCATGGAATTTTTGTCTTATACATGTTACAAGTTCTTTATAGCTGTAACCCAAAGAACATATGATTTTTTCTTCTTTTGTCTGTGTGTCTGTGTCTGTGTGTGTGTATGTGCATACAATGGTTTAGGGGCTTAAACTTAGGGTCTGAACACTTTCTTGAGCTTTTTTGCTCAAGGCCAACATTCTTCTACTTGAGCCGCAGCTCCACTTCTGGCTTCTTAGTGGTTAATTGGAAAATAACCACTGGGCTTTCCTGCCTGGCTGTCTTTGAACCATGATCCTCAAGTCACATCCTCCTTGAGTAGCTAGGATTACAGGTGTGAGCCACTAGTGCTGGGCTTGAATTATCTGGTTTTATAAAAATAAATTGGATACCTTCTCTTAGCTTACTGCTACCCCACTCCTCTTGACCTTTTTTAAGTTAGCATTCTTCTCTCTGACTCACCTGTTCTTGCCACTCGAATTAATCACATGGACTTGGACCACTGGAATTATCATTTCTTCCTCATGCCAGCTGTCCCTCTCCCATCCATGTGGCAGTTAAGACTCTGGTTGTACTAACATGCTTTGAGATTTTGCTACACAGCAGCAAGTACACAAAAGTTGGCATGGTGATATACACATATGATCCCAAACTTAGGGGGGCTAAGGGAGGAAGATCATGAATTTCAGGCCATGCTGAGCTACATAGTTTCTGTCTCAGAACAAAGAACAAAAACAAAAACCATAAAGAGTGTATTGCAAATTTTGTGCACATTGTCATTTAATTTTTAATCACATCGCTGAAGGACTATTTCCATTTCTTAGATAATGATCAATTTATTTAGATCAATTTATTTAGGAAGAAATTCAAATATTTATGTATAGTTTTCAAGTGTTTCTAATGTGTCATTCAGTATTAAAATTATTAGAAAACACATCTCTATACAAAGTAGAGGATTTTTCATTATATAATTTGTTACAGTATCTAATATTAGCTTTGCTCATTAAAAACATGCAAACACATATACATCCATATGTTCTCAACTAATTTACATATGTGCTTATAATTAGAGTTTGTCGTGGGGTTGTTTGCTTGTTTGTTTGAGCCAGGATATCATTGTACAGCCTAGGCTGGCTTAGATCCCATAATCCTCCTGCCTCATTCAGGTGTACTCCACAATATCTCACATCATCATTAGGTTTTATACATGCAGTTTTACTGAGTATGAAGTATTTTTCAGGTTTTAAAGGAGATAGAAAATGTGACCCTATTCTCTGTTGAATTAGAAAATCTTTGGCAAGAAAGGTTAAGTGGAATTGTAGTGCATGGTTTGGACTGTGCAGTGATTCCTCTGAGAACTGTAGATTCAGAGAGGACAATTGGATGAAGGTGAGTGAAGTCATCTTCATGGGAAGTGTTTGCTTCCCACGTGCCTCACTCCGCAGTTAGGACTGGAGATGAAAGTGTAGGATTGCAGTTTGGATGGAATGGAGGACAACTAGAAAGGCAATTGGAAGTAATTATATCATTAGGACTTGATAATTTACATTGTGTTCTCTCTTTAAAAAATCAGGCAGCTTGATATAAAATCTCTTAAGATAGAAATCATTAACAAGTGACATTTTCTTTTCCTTACAGTGCTTTCATATTTTTATTCATCAAAACAGAAGTAGCAACTAGCACGTGTTCTATGGATACCACACCATTAATGACAGAACATGTGAGTAATGTATGAGACACGACTTGACATAAATTTGAAAAGAATGAGAAAATGGCATTTGCTTTCCTTTCATGGCTTAAAAAAAGAATCAAAGGATCTCTGAACATAATTGCTTGATTGGATCAATCCTCCATGAAGCTTCTTAGTAAACTCAGAGGTCTATTGATATGGTTGACAGTAGATCCACTAGGAGACATGTGTGCTCATTGCAGACTTGGCGAGTATCTTGGGTATTTACACAACAGAGGACCCTGAATTCTACAGAGCATTGTAAAAGTAGCCTTAGAAAGGAGGAGGCTGAGGTTTGAAATGGGCCAAAGGAGAAAAAAGACCAGAGGAAGCAAGGGTGAGTCAATGAAGTTCTGTGAGATTAAGATTATGCTTGACTTCCTAATTCTTTAACGTTTTCTCCCCTATGCCCTACTTCAAGGTAAAGAGCATTGAGATCATGCTCTTTCCACTGTATAACCATCTACATGGCTACATATGAGTATATACGCCTGTACTGGAGTGCTTAGACAGATTTGGATATACCTGTGATTTGAGAATTTTGTGACTTAAAGAATCTAGTTAGACTAGAGTCACAAATATGAGTTAGTGACAGGCTTTAAAGGGAACAAACTCTGTGTAGGTGTCTGTGACTGCCTGTGAATCTACCTTAAATGGCCTGCACACTAGCTTTTCCTGTATCATGCATCATCCACCTGCCCAGGGCCCCATGCTGGCCTCTGCCTCTGAACCCAGAGTCCAGAGTCCACCAATGCTCTGCCCTTATTTCCAAAGAATCTCTTCTTTCTCATAAAATGTTACCAACTAAGATGATGAAAGCTGAGTTAAATTGACACTAAAGTTGAATAATAATCTGCTTGAGCCCAAAAGAAAAAAGCTTATTAATCCTTAGGCATCCATACCTGGGGACTGTCAAGGAGAAAGGGGGAGTAGGGTAGTTCCTTGTGATTTCAGGATTTAGACGTGCCCTAACCAACCACTTTCAAACAAAGGAACAAATGATCCAATAAAATAAATACAACTTGGCAAAATAAAATAAATACAACTTAGGCAAGTGGAAGATTTGAACAAACTATTCTTAAAGATTCACAAAGCACTGACTAGTTAGTGTGATACATATCAGGTCTCCTTCCTGTGTCGAAAGAAACCTGATTTTGCTCCTATAAGTAGCAGGAGTAACTTTGGAAAGACTTTAGAAAAGCACAAAAATGCATTCAATAACAGAAATGTTATAAATTTGCTCATATGTTCTCCTGACTTACAATATTGACCTAATCTGGCTGGGAATGTTTTATTAAACAAATTCAGTATAAAAACTGCTCCATTGATCTGAGGCATTCTATAATAGGAGACTCAAGGGTTTTATGGGAGGTTTTTATTTTACTCTTAGTTTAGAGTTTATTAAAACATGCTAATAAACCACAAGAGTTCATAGCTTTTGTTAGTTTTAACAGATATATCAAAATAGTCACACATTAAACTTAACATTTTGAATGGAGAACTTGGCAACAGCCAAACCCTTCTGAAAGGAAGGCTGTGAGATATCACAGGTAGGTGATCGATGCATATTTTAAGGACTGTGAAGACACTAGAGAAAACCAGTGAAATCTTTTCATCACCATGTGTCTCTTGTTGCTCATTTGTGTCAATATTTTCAACAGGTGATCAACACTGCTCCAGACCCCTGTGCCGGCTGCTCCTGGGTGGACAGACTTTCTCCAGCACATCATCGCATAGTGTAAGGAGAGGAGAATTCTTTCTCTAGTGTTCTGTTCTATAGTTGTAACAGAGAGCAGGGGGATCAGGGTTCAAGAAGAAAATGGGAGCCAACATTCATGTCTCAGACCTGTAATCCCGAGCTACTCAGGAGGCCAGCATCTCAGGACTGTGATTCAAAGCCATCCTGGGCAGTAAAGTCCATAAGATTCTTGTCCATTAACGACCAAAAACACCTAAACTGGATGTGACTCAGGTGGTTGAGCATTAATTTTGAGCAAAAGAATTAAAGGACAGCTCCCTGGCCCTGAGTTTAAGCCCCAGTAATTGGCACACACAAAATAACCAAGCTTTGACTTCTAGCTCCTTGAGGCTAGACTACAATAGACTGTATTTGTACTCAACTACAATATTTTTTGTGTCTGTGTGATTCCTAACCCCTCTGTCCTCATCATGAGCACTTGGAGAGTTAGGTACAACATCAACCTTGCTTACTTTAGCATGTTGCACTTTATGTGGAGGGATTTTTTTTTTCTGTACTGCCAAATAAATATAAAAATATGTTCTATAATTTGTATTTTACAATTTCATGGCTATTTTGAATTTTGGCTGGTGATGCCTTTTTTATAGTATATTTCAATGTTTTATTTTTTGTGATGCCTTCTTTGGATACCTGAATATAAAGTTATTTATTATTTATTTATTGTGTTGATTTGTGTGGGGGCTAGGGGGAAGGGGGATTTAAGGCTTCCCACATGCTAGACAAGCCCCTTACCACTGAGCTATGCCCAGCCTAAATTTTTTCTGGGGGGTCCAGTCATGGGGCCTGAACTCTGGGCCTGGGTGCTGTCCCTCAGCTCTTCAGCTCAAGGCTAGCACTCTACCACTTGAGCCACAGCGCCACTTCCGGCTTTTTTCTTTTTGCTTATGTGGTGCTGTGGAATCGAACCTAGGGCCTCAGGCATGCAAGACAAGCGCTCTATCACTGAGCCACCTTCCCAGCCCCCCTAAATTTTTTTAATTGAATATACATTGACTTCACAGTAGGAAAGGAGCAGCACAAGTTGAATAAATGAAAGAATAAACAAATAAGGCTCTAAAAGCAATAAATAGGTTGCTATTTTTGCTCTCAGAATGACACAGATTTTTTTTTTAATCACTAAATTCTTTCTGATATTTTCAAACTTTTATTTTCCCCACAAAGCATCTCCTTTGTTATGGGAACCTTTGTTGAGAAAGCAACTGTAGTTGTCTATAATAAGCCAGGCCTGATATGTGCCTTGTCTGTTTTGGACAGTTCTCACACAATGCATGGATTTCCAGTGTGGGTCGAACACATCACAGGGAACCCCGACACTTCCAAGCTCTCATACACATTTAGCTACGCTGGCTTAATTCAGATGGCTTGAGTGAGAACCATTGAAATCATGTAAGAGGTCAATTTTGGCTTAGGATGGGTATTTTTAAAGTCATTTTCCAGTGAATTTTTTGTGTTTTTTGATTGTTGTTTTGAAACAGTCTCTCTGGCTAGTCCAGGCTGACCTAGAATTTATGATCAACCTGAATCAACCATCCAAGTGCCAGTATTACAGGCATGCACCACTATGCCTTAAAGAAGGAAATAAGCTTTGCCCCAAACTGTTTCCTATTTGAAGTCATTATCCAGTGAAGTAATTTAAAAGATCTGCTCTAGAATAATCATCACCTCCCTGCAGAATCACAGGAAGGGTGTTCACCATGCAAATAGGGCCCAACCCTGAGGAAGGCAGCAGGACTCCAGCACTTATAATGAATTTTGTTAGAAAATGGAAAGACTTGGAAAAAATTATATTAAGTGAAGTAAGCCAGGCCCAAAGAAACATAGGTCCCATGCTTTCCCTTATCTGCAATAACTAGTGTATGTCTAGGACAAGCAGAAGAGGTCAAATAAGATGATGTTAGGTGAAATTAACCCCAAGATAAGAACTCAAATGGTTTTTCTTTCTTGCTATTGTTTCTAACATATCTATAAGATGATTTCTTTGTTGCCTTGTATGTCCCTCCCCCATGGTATAACCCCTGTTTTCACTGTATTTGATGTTGGTATAATTTGGGGAGGGGAAACTAAAAAAACAAATTGTTTAAATAGGGATACAGGTGGATACATTGCAACAATGAGATGCACAAAATGCCATGTTGAAAAACAAACTTTACAACTTTGGTGGAGCAGGGTTGGGGCGGAGGGCGAGGGAGGGAGTGTAGTCGTGGAGATGGGAGGGCAGGGATGGTAGGGGAAAAACAAAGGAGGAGGCAACAATGTTTGATAAGAAATGCACTTATTACTTTGCTCATGTAATTATAAACCCTCTGTATGGTATTTTCACAATTAAAAAAACTTAGTAAAGCCAGCATTGAAACTCGAATAAAATAAATAAATAAAAATAAATGAAATGAAATTTTCTTCTTATGAGAAAGGAAAGTTTTAGTGGAAATACACAGATTTTTTTTTAAATCAGCATTTTCCCTTGTCCAGGCCTTGGGCAGCTCTGTGCTTTGCATAGCTGATTTTTTTTTTTTTTTTAGCAAAAATGTACCTAGTCTTAGTCTGTCTTGCTTCCATGCTGAATATCAGAAGGTGCTGTAAAAAGAAGCCAGAGGAACACAAACAGTCCACACACTGCAATTCTGTGGAGTGATGTTCATCTGTTGTGTTTTGTAAAGCCTGCACCATGTGGAGTGCCCAGGCTGCCCTTCCTGGTGCTCCTGGGTACCACAGGGTGTGGGTAGTATATACCAGTCAATGATGTGTGTGACTTCTACCAAGCTACCTGTGATCACATTGGAAGCCAGTATCCAATATGATTCCTTTGGTATGTTTCTCAGAAACGTTGTTTTGTGCTGAGAGTCATTGTACTATCTGTATTTGTTTCTGAAGGGGCTGCAGCCTTGCAGTGATCTCTGGAATCTTCTATGGATCTACATTTGTGCCCATCATTTACATCAAAGACCATGGCAAAAGGAATGACAGTATATATGCAGGAGCGAGCCAGTATGGTGAGAGTTCAAAGTCTTATTTATTAGCCAATTCACTAATAGCAGTGCATCTCTATGTATAAAAAAGAATTTCATAGAGTAAATACTGTGTATGCGTTGGGTATTTACTTTTCATTTGTAAGTAATGAATTAGAAAAGCTCTAAAGGCTAAGCCTAATAAAAGACTAACTATTTTCACATGATCTTTGATAGAAGAATGGACTGTGCTCAGAATTTATTTCAGCTTCTCAAAGCTTGACAGTTTCTAGTTTTGCTGTAAGATTTTCAGATAATTTGCCAGTTTGATGATCTCTATAAAAATATGTATTCTACTTTTTAATAAAAGGGTAATATGTAGAACATAGTACATTTAAATCAAGTAAAGGTCAACGCTAGTGTGCTTAGTCAGAGGATGCTATTTTTCAAGAACAGAGAATGAGATCTTCTGAAAGGGCCTATGTAGTGACTCCTCATGGGTCTGCAGCCACCAGTGATAACATTAATCTTTCAGCTGTAAGCAATGTATACACAGCCTTGGAAGGTTTCCAAGGAGATGAAAGAGGGTCTGCTTTTGGGCCCCATAACTGTGGTGAATCATAATCATGTGACTATGCCCCTAAAGCGATAAGAGGATTCATAATAGAAATAATGACGTTTTAAATCACACGGGGCAGAAATCACATGAACTCCATTCAGATAAGGGAAGAAAGAGTTTGAAGAGCAAAAGTCATGAGGGGAAGACTGATAAAGAAGTTGACCAAGCAGGTGACAAAGAATGTAACTGTGAAATCACTGGCTTCAGTGACTTCCAGGACAGCATAGGCTATTGGATGATATTCTATCACAAAATGTAAAGTAAAATAAAATAACCGAATTAATGTAAAATAAAATAACAAAATACAATACAAAAGAAGGGATGAAATTTGAACATGAGTTTAACAGTGAATAGACTTTGAAAAGAGGCATGGTTACCTTTCTGTCGTATGCTTAGTGTTGATCAAATACCAAACCTTGCATCGATTTGTCTTTCTTTTGTTAAGATTTTATACAAATATTTTTTATACTTTTCATTCTTAAGGATTAAAAACTAATAAAAAGAGGCTAACATAAGATAAATTTAAAAAGAAGAAAAAACAAGAGGAAGGAAATACATGGAGCCAGAAATGAGTCTAAATCTTTGGACTATATTTGTATCCTTCTAGATATAAGCCATACACTGGGCACTCAGCTTTCTTGTAGCCACAAGGGAAAACAGACCAGCCTCAGGATTCAGTGAGCACAGATCAAAACAAGTAATTGTTTAGGAGTCAAGTTGTTCTTGGTACTGGGACATAATAAACAATGTCCTTGTCGTTCTTTCTCTAACTAGAACAACAAGTTCTTAGGCACTGTTCTGAAGTAATCTCATGGGAACACACTTTACAACCATGTGTTCAAAAATAATTCTTGGCAAGCATTTTTTTATTTTGCTTATTTAACAAACATGCATGTATTTTGAGCTCTGCTATAGGGTCTTTGCAAATCCTAATTGGGTTAATCCTGATAGCCATTGACACTGATATTAATCTTGTTGTAAAATGGAAAAAACCTGAGTCAGAGAAACTTAAATTATTTTGCCTAAGTCCCAAGATTAGTAATGGGTGAGGATTTGCATAAGGTGAGCTAAGTCTTCTGTTGGATAATGGTGATGGGGTAGTAGTGGTAGTGGCACTGGGCCTCACTCTTGCTAGTCAGATCTTCTATAACTTGAACCATGACCTCATCCCTTTTTTGCAATCATTGTTTTTTTTTGCCAGTCCTGGGGCTTGAACTCAAGGCCTGCACACTGACCCTGAGCTTCTTTTGCTCAAGGCTATCAGTCTATCACTTGAGCCACAGTGCCACTTCTGGCTTTTTCTGTTTATGTGATACTGAGGAATCGAACACAGTACTTCATGCATGTTAGGCAAGCACTCTACCACTCAGCCACATTCCCAGTCCTTACTATGGTTATTTTTCAAACAAGTACTCCAATTTTTGCCTGGGTGTCCTGAATCATGATTCTATTTATACCTCCCATATAGCTGGAAGAAGGTATGTGCCACCACACCTGGATTCATCATTGACATGAGGTGTTCTCATGAACACTTGGATCAAGTACTCTTAAACCCAAATCCTTTTGATTTCTTCCTTCTGAGTAGCTGTAATTGTAGGTACAAGCTATGACTTGTGGCATTTGTTTGTGTTTTAAACACTATGTTATACTGTCTTTGTAAAGGTTTTCATATATAGATACATTGCTATTTTGTGATCCAGTATTATGTTTTAGGATTTTCAAGAACAGGCAGATTCTCCTGTAAGGCTCTTTTCCCTTAAATTTTATTTTTTTTAATTTTATTTTTTCAATTCAACATATCAGTTTATAAGTACAATGCATCTTGATCAATATCAGCCCTTCCATTGTTTCCCTCTCATCTTTCCAAACCTCACCCATACCTTCAAGTTACATGGTCCCATTTTACATACGTACATTAAAGATGAATGCATTTGTTAGCCCTTCCTTTCCCCATTCAATCTATCCTCCCTTCCCTTAAATTATTATTCCTAAACATGGCCACTCACTTGGTCAAAATTTTAGATGACAGAAACATGGAATGCCAAGACCTTGCAGTGCACCATCTGTGTGACAGAGTGCCACCTGCTCAGGCTGGCAGTAGCAGCAGGACTTCTCGAGATGGCCTCCACTGAGCATCTCGCTCCTCTCCCTCTTGCAGCTTGGCTACTGTAAACAATTGGACAGAACCCTCATTGAAACAACTTGCTGAATAGCCCCTTTTACACAGCTGTCACCTGCAACCATGATACTGGCCTGCAGATTCATTGGCAGCTCAGGTTTTCATCCCACATCCCTCACTATAACCTACATCTGCTGCAGTCCTGAGTAAGGTGAGGACTGAACACTGATTCTTTTTTTTTTTTGTCGGTCGTGGGGCTTGAACTCTGGGCCTGGGCGCTGTCCCTCAGCTCTTCAGCTCAAGGCGAGCGCTCTACCACTTGAGCTACAGCGCCACTTCCGGTTTTCTGGTGGTTTATTGGAGATAGGAGTCTCACGGTCTCTCCTGCCCGGGCTGGCTTTGAACTGCGATCCTCAGATCTCAGCCTCCTGAGTAGCTAGGATTACAGGCGTGAGCCACCAGTGCCCGGCTTGAACACTGATTCTTAAAAGGGAAGCATTAGCATCGTAGGTGCATCCTGTTGTTTCTTTTTATGTAGCTTTCTAAGGCGGATTCTAAAAACTAGCCTTTTAGATTTAATTATAGTAAATAAAGGTTGTCGATTAAGATTTTATAAAATAGCATGTAGATAATGAAGATGATTGGATAAATATAATGAATGCTTCCTTTAGTGTTAAGGTTTATGTTGGTGAGTTTATTGTATGTTCAGAAATGTAAGTATACTTCAGATGGTTAAAATGATGCCTGATAATCTCTTTTTAGATTTAGACTATGTTTTTGCACACTTCAGTGGCATCTTTCTTACAAGTACAGTCTACTTTCTGGCCTACTGCATGATCATGAAAAATAGTCCTAAGCTCTATCCAAAGGCAGTCTTACCAGGTAAGACGATTCACTGCACAGACTCTTACTACTATAGAAAAAAACTCAACTTGCTGGGTTTCATTAATCACCTCCTGGGAACCCACCTATCTGTTGAGTGTTTGAGTGTGTGTTTCTGTGTAATTGTGTGTGTGTTGTATGTAGTGTGTTGTATGTGTGTATGAATATATGTGTGTAGAAGCATGTGTTATATGTAATGCATGTGTGTTGCTTGTGTGTATATATATTGTATTGTGTATAATGTTGTATGTGCATATGTAGGATTGCATGTTACAAACATGTACACATTGTTATTTATCATAATTGCTTTGACCCAGTTTGCAAATACAACATTATTTGTATCCCTATGAAATTAGATATGAAAAGCTGATCTTTCACAGAACTTCAAGCTTAACTAGCAGTCAATCTTAAGATATTTTTCCAGTGCCAAAATATCTGTTTTGATCACCAATCTACAGTTTCTTTTTTTACTATCTAGTGTTTCATATTAAAAGTCAGTGTTCTAGCTAGGCACTGATGGCTTATGCCTGTAATCCTAGTACTCAGGAGGCTGAGATCTGAGGCTAGCTGGGGCAGAAAAGTTCATGAGACTCATAAATGACTCAACAAAAGCTGAGAGTGAAGCTGTGGCTTTGGTGGTAGAGCACTAGCCTTGAGCAAAAAGAATCTCAGGAATAACACCCAGGCCATGAGTTCAAACCCCAGGACTAACACCAAAAAAATCAGAGTTCTGTGACTAAAAAATTAAAATATGTGCCTACTTTGGCAGCACATATACTATTGGAGCAATACAGAAAATATCAGCATGGCCCCTGCACAAGATTGACACAATTTGTAAAGCTATCTGTATTATTTTGTACAACTACTTGAAGATAATAATAAAAAGTTTATAAATAAAAAAATTACATAATATAACCAGCAGGACTGTACAATCACTTGAGGAAGGTTTCTCCAATAAATAAGAAGAGCTTGTTATAGAGTTCAAAAAAAGCATATGCTAAGTGCTCTTGCTTTTGATCTTGATTCAATAGGCATTAATGGTTAAAATAACAATAAAAACTGTTTAACTTAGGAGATAGCTCTCTTTCACCTTTATTTGTAATATAGCATGACTGCTGTTCTGGACTACCTATCAGGAAATGATAGAACGTCTGCCCAATATCTAGAAACTGTAGTATGGAATTTCAGCTGATGTCTGTATATCAGTGATCCGGCATTGCTCTAAATGTCACTTCCCCTTGTATCTGTGGTTTATAGGGAATGCTATTATCATTCGGATCCTGTCCTTCCCTAAGCCGTGGACTACCCAAGCTCTGGCTCAGCCAGACTGAGGGGGCTTTATTAACTGGCACAAAGGGAAAGGATGGGTAGGTAGTTACAGCATAGCAACCGAAAGCAGAGGAAGCATTTAGTTTCTAAAATGATCATCAACAAGCTCAAAAATCCATATTGACAACAGTGTTGACAGAATGCATTTCTCAGTGCACCTTGATGCTCTCCGTTGGATAGAGTGTGACTTTTTGAGACCAAAGCCTATCCTGCAGTGTGTGCTGTCCCTATGTGTTCCAGGCTTCCTGTCAGGAGTACTGTGGGCAATAGCCACCTGCTGTTGGTTCCTAGCTAACCACTCTCTCAGTGCCGTGGTCAGTTTTCCAATCATCACTGCTGTAAGTAGCCACCTTTTTTTCTTCATTTTTCAAATGTAAATCTAATTTTCCCGAAGTGGGCTTAGTGACTCACTAAACACTGCTATAGAGTTTGACTATTTTATAGACAAAATAAGATTCAGGAAAAGAAATTGGTACACTTTAATTTTCATATCCTTGACTGTTATGAACTCATTTTTAGCAGGTTTACCAATATTTATCTTTAAAATCCTTGTATTATTTTTATTGTTGTTAGGTCATTTTACTTAATGTCATTTTGGAGACATTATAATTTACAATTTGTAGCAACATGAATCTCTGCTTTATTTAATAATTTATAAGTACAGCAAATGGCTATGCCATTATAGATATCAATACAGATAAAGAGATATAGATACAGATGCAGATATAGACTTAAAAAACTACACTTGAAAGCTCATGGAAGACTTGAGAGACTAAATATACTCAGATTTCAGACTCTTCCTTCTGACACATTTTTGTTATGTTGTTTTCTTTTGGGGGGAGGGGTGAGCTTGAACTCCGCCTGTTTGCTGTCCATGAGTTTTGTTTTGCTCAAAGCTAGCACTCTATCCTTGAGCCACAGCTCCACTTCCAGCCTTTTTTGAGGAGTTTATTGAAGATGAGTCTCATGGATTTTCCTGCCCCAACTGGCTTCAAACTGTGATCCTGAGAATTACAGGCCTGAACCACCAGCACCCAGAGTTTCTGTATTTTTAAGGAAAACTTTCAGAAATGTGGTATCTCTGGATAGTGCCATTTATCAAGCAGACTTAATAGAATTCACTCATCTGATTGTTCAGATATCTGTAGCAAAAAAAACCAAAATGTTCCCCACGACAGAGGTAGTAGATTATCCCATTTCAAAATTGAGAAATTTGAATCAGTTGGCAGAGAGCAGAGAGCTGATGAAAGTAAGAAACTCTCAGAACACAGGGTGACCTGCCATCATCAGCATAGAATATAGAGCTAGTTTCTAGTCCAGTGTGTCACTGGCTGATGTCTACTGGCCTAGCTTTAATGAGGGCTCCTTTGCTTTCCTAGACATCCTGAATTGCTGAATGATTCTTCATCTGCCTCCTGGGTACAAAATTATGATCACAAACAACATTCACCTAAAATATTTTAGTACCATATCTGAGTAAACCTAGAAAGCTGATATTGCTAAGCACATTGTATAGCTAAAAGCACAGTGTAAAGATTTGATTGAAACTCATTCAAGCAACTCAGGGCTTGGGTGCTGTCCCTTAACCTTTTACTCAAGGCTGTCACTTTACAAGTTGAGCCACTTTACAACTTGAACTGGATTTTTATTGATTAGTTGGAGATAGGAGCATCACAGACATTTCTGCCTGGGCTGTCTTTGAACCATGATCCTCAGATCTCCACCTCTTAAGTAGCTAGGTTTACAGTTGTGAGCCGCAAAGCCCAGCTCAAATATTACATTTTAATATGTTTTGTGTTTTTCATTTTTGAGACAAGATCTCACTATGTAGCCCAGGCCAGCCTCAAACTTGATATTCTCCTGCCAAAGACTCACAGATACTGCTTTTGCAGGCATGTATCACCTGGCTCAAGACCCTTGGCTCCAATTACAAATTTTAACAGTTCTCTGCTCATAAAATGGCCTTCAGATTAAGCTGAATTCCAATTAAAAAAGAGATTTATCATTGCTTCAAGAACACAGCTTGACATTCTAACTTCTCCTGTGAGAAAATGTCCAAATCTAGCTAATTATAAGGAATTTATTTAGACCCAAAGTCCTCATAAAGAATATAAAGGAAGGGGAAGAGAAGGGAACGGAGAGGAAGGGAGGGGAGAAGGAAATCACAACCAGAATTTGTTAACCACTGCTCCTCTTCATCCTTGATAATTCTAAATTCTAATCTGGAATGTTCAGCTTCTTAAGCCAGGATCAAGCCTACCTCATTTTCAGAAGCTGATCTACACGGGATTGGCATTTCTTCACAAAAGGAAAGTACACAATTCCAATCATCAAGGCAGTTGTGTCTGCAATAAGATGCCATCTCTATTTTGCTCTCGTCTGCCCAGAGCAGAGAGGCTGCATAGATTTTTGCCTCTGCTTGAATTACTCTCTGCCTAGCACCATGGCACCCACGTACAACCTCATGCACGCACAGGACATGTACAAAACCAATTAGAAACTCTTCAGACAGAAAGTTTCAAATTGCAATGTTAACCATGTTCTCTGAAGGGAAATGAATCTTGAGAGTTTAGTGAAAAAAGTTTCCTGAACAGCTGGCATGACATTAATATTGCGTCTGCACTTTTGTTCCCCAGTGTAGGGTTGCCTGAAAGTCTCATAATGCCTGTTTGATTTGGACGCTTGAGACGCAGGACTTTATATCACCAATAAAAGGCAGCTCCTTTGACCTATTTCTCTGCCTCCTTGGATGCTGACTTTTCAGATGCTGATAAACAGAGTAAAATATTCTTGCTTCCCTTCCATGCTGGGAGTGCAACCAAATATTGTTGACCAAGCCAGAGAAACGGTTGGTAGTGGCAGAGGAGAGAACACTTTTTGAATTGTTTATTTGAAATGTATCCATAGTTCCTGCAAGGCTCAAAAAGGAATCATAAAAATGTTGATATGACAGCATTTTGCACAAGTTCCACACAAGTACCAGGATTAACCCAAATACCACATTTTCTCCTTGTTGAAAATATCCATGCCAACTCTAAATAGTTCCAAGTTTTCAAATTGCAGAATCTTTGCTTTTCTTTCCATTTTCTTCTCATTCCCTGCATTCTGTATTATTTGTTCTTGTCTTTGAGTTCAGTAACTCCTGAGTTTTAATCTTATTATTTTTACTTTATTTACTTTATCACACTCTTACTTGGTTTACTTGCTCACAGATGGAACACTACCACTTGAGCCATGTCTCCAGTCCAGCATTTTGCTGATAGAGTATCTCAAACATTTCTGTGCATGCTGGTTTCAAACTTGGATCTTTCAGGTCTCAGCATTCTCCATAGTTGGGATTATAGGCATGAGGTACTGGCACCTGGTTTATCTAACATCATTTTTAATTTTTCCCTGTAGTACTTAGAGCATTCATTTGTGTTTACTATTTAGACATAATTAATGGTTTTGAGGTCATAATAATTATTATTTTTTAATTAGAAGTATATACCATTTTAATATATGCATTATTATAAGGCCCAAGAACATACTACCAAAACAATAGAAAAACAAGCTACTGTGTGCCAGAGGCTCATAACTGTAATACTAGCTACTCAGGAGAGTGAGAGTGGTTTGGAACTAGCTCAGAAAGAAAAGTCCACAAGACTCTATCTCCAAGATAACCAGCAAAAAGCCAGCTTCAAGATGTACCTCAAGTGATGTACTTCAAGAGCACCAACTATAAAAAACAAGCTAATCAAAGGCCTGAGTTCAAGACCCTCCTCAATACCAGTAACAAAACTAGTTTATTAGAACATACTGCATTAAACAATATTTTATATCACACATTATAATATCAAACTAATAGACCACAAAAAGAACAAAAATAAAAAATATTTTACTTGATTATACTAGATCTTTTAGCTCAATTTGAGGTTATAGTTGAGATTATAGAAAGTTTTACCTGAATATTTTGATATTCTCTCTAACTTCTGCACATACATAGAATATATACATAGAAGAGCCAATTTAATTAAAATTCTTATTGTTATTTAAGGGTCCAGGATTTATAGCCGCATTGTGGGGCATCTTCGTTTTCAAGGAAATACAGGTATGTTAAAGAAAATGATTTCCTTTTTCCCCCCAAATATAATCACCCATTTTCTCTGAGAGACAGACAATTTGGGCTGATTTTAGCATCAAAAGGAAATTCATTTTGACTCCAGGAGAACATTATTCTTCGGCTACATAGATAATAAAGAAGAACTCCGCAAAGTGTTCACACATAATTAGGTTGTAGAGTGCTTATGATTAAATCCCATTTTTTAATTTAAGTAATTATATCAATTTATAATTCACTTTCTAATTTACAGAGTACATTTGGAAATTGCCTGACTATGTTCATTCTTTGAACAGTTTAAATATTCATTGAATACTTTTCTGCACTAGTGCTGGTATCTAAGTTAAAGTAAATTAATTGAAAAGTAGGAAAAGCATGCTGAAACCTTCATATGGGATTCAAATGCATACATGTATGTCTGTGTATTCCTGTGTACATTTTTGTGTGACCAAGCAAGGAAGGCTTTACTAGATACTTGTAGAGGTTTCAGTGAGACTGAGTTTTAATAGAGATGAAGCTCACAGTAATTTGACTTCATAAAGTCCTACCTCTGATCAGACAAGGTTAAATTAACCTATTCAAACCCTATTTATTCAATTGCTGAAAGAATGCATATATAGATATACCTATACCTATAAATATATTTAGATATATTAGTGTTTTATATGTTGTGTCATTAATCTTAAAGAACTATTCATAGGAAAGAAGCTCTCATTTGTTAGGAAATGGAAAGACTTGGAAAAACGTATGTTAAGTGAAGGCCCAAAGGATCATAGGTCCCATGGTTTCCCTTATTTGTAATAACTAGTATATATCTGAGACAAACAGAAAAGGTCAGCTAAGATGATGTTAGGCGAAATGAACCCCAAGATAAGGACACAAGTGGTTTTTTTCTTGCTTGCTATTGTTTCTTTCTTTCTTTCTTTTGGTACTAGGGATCAAACCCAGGATGTTGCACTTGCTAGGCAAGCACTTTACCACTGAGCTACTCCTAGTCCTCTTGCTATTGTTTCTAACCTATTTATAAGGTGATTTTTTTTGTTTTTGCTTTGTATGTCCCTCCCCCACGGTATAACCCCTGTTTTCACTGTATTGGATGTTGGTATAATTTGGGGAGGGGAAGAGAAAAAACAAATTGTTTAAATAGGGATACAGGTGGACCCATTACAACAATGAGATGTACAAGACGCTATGTACAACTCTGGTGGGGGTAGGGAGGATGTAGTCATGAAGATGGGAGGGGGGATGTTAGGGGAAAAACAAAGGCAGCAACCATGCTTGATAAGAAATGTACTCATTACCTTATTCGTGTAATTGTAACCTCTCTGTACGGTATTTTCACAATAAAAGCTTATTTTTAAAAAAGAAAAAGAAAGAAGCTCTCCATAAGCAGTGTTCACATCTCCCTCCATCCTGTCTACAGTTTCTGCTCTGGGTTTGTAGCACAAATTTACCTCTAATGTCTGCAGTTTGTTTTTTCAACAATTTATAGACCAGAGTCCTCTCGGAAAGTATGAGGAAAAGAGGAAGAATGAGAGCAGATGGAAGTCACTATGCAGTCAGTGAACGCCTGTGCCACTGGGAGAGCTTGGCATCTCCCGTCCTGGTATTTTCACCCAGTTAGAGTTTCTGTTCCTGGTCTTCCCTCAAAGCAGAACTGGCAGTGGGGCAGTAAGGACAGAAAGCCCCCAAGCCTTTCATGTTTAATGGGCAAGCAGGTCTCCCCAGGCCATCACCCAACATTGCCTAGCTAAAGAAGCCCAGGGTTTGGTAGATGCAGGTTCCTTGGCAGAGTTACCAAGAGAGGGAAGCTACCACTCCTTCCCTGCAGATGTGAAGCACGCAGGATGCATACTGCTCAAAAAGCCATCTCTCCCTCTTCTCCCTTTTCCTCCCAGAGTCCTTGTGTGTCTACTACATGACCAATAAGTAAGGCATTGCTACTTCTTAGTTTAAAGTACTAATACCAGAAATATCCTTTGATTTGATGATTAGAAGACTTAAATGTACCCTGACACAAGGTCCCCAAAATAAGGGATACATGAATCCTACTTTCCTCTGAGCTGTTCAAACTTTGCCTTAAAATATTGGTGTCTATCTGCAAGTGACAGACATTCAGAGGGAAGCAGCCAGGGTGGTGAGTCTGAAATCTTTCCAGGTGACAAATGAGCAGAGCAGCTAAAATATTGATCAAAAAGAGATGCCTCTGGGAATATAAGATAGTTATTTTTCTATGTTTGAGGGTTTATCTTGTGAGAGAGATTAAAATCGATCTATCTGCACTCCTAGCTATAGATCTTATAGGAAATGAAATGTTTCTGCTTAGTGCTGGAAGATATTTCTTTGTTAATCTGAAGATGGATTGGGATCCATTGGGATGCAGTAACCAGCTTCTCCCATTGTGAGCACCACCACCCTCAGACACAGTGTGGAGAGGCAGGCTGCTGTTCCTCATACCTCTTCTGTATTTCTTTCTCACCCTTTAGATCCATCTTCATCTCTCTACCTGTGCTTTGCCATCTTTCCTCTGGAGGTTTGAGGCTACCACCTCCTGCTCAGTCTTCTTGAATTCATTCTGCCCCCTCCAATCCATCCTATGGGGAAAATTAGCCTCTACTGAAAGCCAAGTTGATCTTTTCAGCACATACAGCTGTTGTTTGGACAACTAGAACCCCAAAGCATAGGTAAACCTATAAAACCTCTGAATGCCCAGGCAGGCCCACCGCATTCACCTTCATCTTACCTCTCCTCACTCCAGTCATTCTGCCCTGAACCAGGCTTTGTCCTTCAACAGGGCATTACACATAAAACGCCTATTTGGAACCTCTGCTTGCTGCCCAGTTTCCCTGGGCAATCAGTCTATCCATACTTGTTAGAAGCATAAGTCCCTATGCTCCTAACAAGCTTTATAAGAATCCTGCATATACTCACCAACCATTGTGACTGGTCATCTCTCTCATATCCCAACACTCCCTTCTACAATTTTTTTGTTAATTGCTGTCTCTCTCATTACTCCATATTTGGACTCCTGTGTGTTCACTGATAGGGCCAATTGGTGAGGCTGTAGATTTGTAAGAGAATATGGATGATTTCCAAGCTGGGGGCGGGGTGCAGTAAAAGCACACAGGTGGTTAGAGCAGGTGGTTCCGAAGGTCTCCAGACATCTTAAAAGAATTGCTCTTCTTTTGTGCATTTGAATTTAAGTCAGGTTTTTACATTAGTTACTCTTCTTTATTATTCAGGGTCCACGGAACTACTTATTAATGGCACTTGCATTTTGCATTATCCTGACTGGAGCTCTGTGCACCGCTTTTTCTAAACTCTAACGGACACAGCAGTGGTTCAGAGAATTCTGCTGGATCAGGGAAATTCTGCTGGGAGCAGAGTGAGATCACTCAGGGAATGAATCTCAGCTACTCTTGGCATGGGTAAATGACTACTACCAACAAATGTGATTGGAAACTTATGATGAGCTGTTAATGAAGGCAGGGCTGTGCTGGGTGACTGAAGGAAGGTCTTCATACCTGTGCCATTACCCTTGAGTGGGTTGGGTGTCATACGCTACAAAACTGTGAAATTGTGCCCAAGGAAGCACCTGTGCAAATTTCTAACATGAATGAAGAGGAGCAAAAATGAGGGTAAAACTTATGGAATTAAATTACATAGATGTCTGAATCCTTTGCTAAAAGAAAGTAAATGTCATGGTTGGTAACATTTATGTTACAAAGATCATTTCATTATGTTTAAGCAAATCTTATTTTATTCAGTCAAATAAATGTTTCTCAGCTTTACATCATCCATCTGTTTTAACTCAAAATGCTTTTACTGTCTCCAGATAAAATCCATCTTCAGAAAACCAGTTTTCCATCAGTGAGATTATGCATACAGATAATTCACCTGTATACAAGTAAGACACACATAAGTACATACCTGGACATGTGCAAAATTTGGGGGAAATTCTAGTATCACTAAAGTCAGTTTCAGAACTGTTATTTTTATATTCTTCTATTTTTTGTATTTGTGACTGGCTCCCTGGTATTTAAAGATTTAAGTACCAAGATTCCATCTCATCAGGGACAATGTAAAGAAACCAAAATTTTTTAGTGAAATATCTAAAATAATTTTATCTGGAGTTTTTTCAGCCTTTTTCCTATGTTTGAATCTTTGAACAGGATTTCCCTATATTTGTCCAGACTTTCTATCCTCTTGCCTCAGCCTCTAAGTGCTGGAGGTCTCTGCATGCATCCCAAGCCAGGCCTTTGTTCCTGTTTTGGCTGGTGGTTTCCAGTAGACAGAAGAAAATGATAGACTTGCTTGTCCCTTATGAAAACACAAATAGAAGTACTAGTTTAATGTTCAAGACCAACCATGGCTTCTAAACCCTCAACATAATCAGATCTGTTTAAATGTTCATTCACCCATTCCCAACCAATATTGTCCTGTTTTGCTGTGCAGAAGCAGAATGTGGCTTCACTGTGTGGACTCCAGAGCCAACCTGTACAACTATAAACCCCACCTCTGCTTCCTCTTAATTCCATGGCTTTGGGAAGGTCCTGGGTCTTCAGTAGTACTACACTCCTCCTTTGGAATGGGGCTCATGATAGTACTTAGTTCATGTGGCTACTGTGTGGTTCAGATTAGTTAAAACTGGTAAATATTTGCACCTAGTACTGCTCAAGCAGTATCAAATGGTTAGCTATTATCATTGTGTGATATTTGAGGGCAAAGAATGTTTATAAACTGTGAAATATAAGGACTATCTGCCTTATTCCTCCCACACAGCTACATCTTATTCTTCCATATCACAAATTTCCTGTTTCATCATTGGATTACTAATGCAAATGAATATTTGAATGTAATTAATTTCAACTTGAAATGTCATTTGATAATTTTTAAATAAATTGACATGATACAAAAGCTATTTTTCTTCTTTAAATATATTTTACGATTTTACATCAGATAGCTTTTAGTTGTGATTGAGAATTTATGTGCAAAATTTAGACATGAAGTAAAGAAATTTCAGAAGGAAAATGAATAAAACAAACTACCACCACCAACAAAGTATCATTCCTTATACACAGTTTCTGTGACCAAACAATGCCTGGAGTAAAAACCAAGTCAAAAAGATTTTCCAAATGATCGTCAAACAAACAATTTACTGTAGTTTGTCTAAAGGGACAAATTTTAATCTCCACCACACTTGCTTTCCTTAGGAAATATATGCCTACTTCCCTTGAGGTTCTTTGTCTAGTATAGCCTGATTCTTATGTTTCAGTGTTTCTAACTTGGCTTTCCTCTGTCTCACCTTGTGGGAAATGACCACCTTATTGTACCAAAGTGCTCCATCTTGTGTCCAGACATGGCACTACAATAGGTAGAGGTGCAGCCTAACCAGGTCATTCTGATTGTAGGAACTTCCCAGTGCTATAGGAAAAAAAGAATCCAGAAATGTACTCATTACCTTACTCGTGTAACTGTAACCATTCTGTACAGCATCTTTACAACAAGATAATTTTTTAAAAAATCCTATTAAGTTGTAGCATTAACAGCACAGCATTTCCCTAAAGCTACAAAATCTTTTGTTGTATTGATTTATTTGTATTTGGTGCTGCTAATGACTATACTTATCTACAGTCACACTGAAAGGGCTGAAAAATATTGTGTGATCAGCACAAGGCATATAACACACTTCATGTAGAGGCTGATAATGTTCTTTGAAAACAAATGGAAATAACAGTTGTTACTAAGGGATGGGTAGAGTACCTGCCTAGCAAACAGTCCAAATAAGAGTACCACCAATAATAATAATAATAATAATTTCCAAGTGGAAAGTAGGTGAAGAAGATGGACTGAAGCAAGACAGCTTACCACATAGGTTTTCTTCCCCCAACACTCCTGAGTTTTTGTTTGTTTTATTTTGTTGTGTTTATGCTGGTTCTGGGGCTTGAACTCAAGTCCTCTGTGACACACTTGGATTTTTCACTGAAAGCTGTAGTTCTACCACTTAAGTCACATCTCCACTTATGGCTTTTTGTCGGTTAATTGGAGATAAGAGTATTACAGATTTGTCTTTATGGTCTGGGTTTGAAATTTAATCCTCAGATTTCAGCTTTCTGGGTAGCTAGGAATGCAGGTGTGACTCACTGGTGCCCAGCCTCCCCATCTCCTCACAATTCCCTTTCTCACTCTACCAAACTCTAAGATTATAGACATGCTTCACCATACCTGGCTTTACACGAGTTTACATAGACCTATCTAAAATACACAGTGATTTTTCTTTTCCCTTACCAATGATATATTTTAAACAGTGTTGCTAACTCATTTTTACTTTACATAACCAAAAAATAGTAAATATATCTTTCATTTACAAGATTTTGTTTGTTTAAACTAACTTCACCTTGTGTCCCCATTAGGTTTCCAGAATTTGAAGGCTGTTTCCTGTGGGAAGCTGATGAGAAGTGTTAGAATTTGTAAGAGGTGAGGATAGCCACTTGCCATGGCTCATACCTATAATCCCAGCTACTCAGGAGGCTGAGATTCAAAGGATCCTGTTTGAAGCCAGCTGGGCAGAAAACTCCATCTCCAATTAACCAGCAAAAATCTAGACTGAAGGCATGGTTCAAGTGACAGAACATCAGCCATAAGCAAGAGAGGAGAGAGAGAGAGAGAGAGAGAAACCCTAAGTTTAAGTGTATATACCAGTATACACCCAAAAAAATGAAAGGGAGAAAGGAAGGACGGAAGGAAGGAAGGAAGGAAGGAAGGAAGGAGGGAGGGAGGGAGGAAGGGAAGGAGGGAAAGAAAGAAAGAAAGAAAGAAAGAAAGAAAGAAAGAAAGAAAGAAAGGAAAGAAAGAAAGAAAAGAAAGAAAGAAGAAAGAAAGAAGGAAAGGAAGAAAAGAAAGAAGGAAAGATGGATGCATGTGGGTTTAAGGATAGGAGGGCAAGGGAAGAAATGTACTTTTACCAAAAAAGAAATGTACTCTTTATCTGACTTATGTAACTGTAACCCCTCTGTACATCATCTTTATAATAACAAGAAAAAAGAGAAGAAAGGAAAGGAGGAAAGGGAAGGGAAGATGGACCTAGTAGGTCATGGAGAGTGGGAGGGAAGTCTGGTGAAACCTGTTGGTAATTCTTGCTCAGCTTCTTGGCTTGAGATGTGACTCCTGTTCAAACATGCATTTCACCATTGTCATGTTAGAACTGTCACCATCAACCACTCCACCATGCCATCATCATTATTATCAACCATCTACCAAGAGGTGATACAGCCAAATGATATCCCTTCCTCCATAGCCTTTATATACAGCTTAATCTTTGGACACCCATAGTGGTGAGCTACATAAACCTCTTTTCTTAGTATCAGCCTGTATCAGGAATTTTGTCACCATGTCAGAATGGACTAACAGACTTTCCAAAATTTGTTTCTCGTTGGAATGTTTTGTTTTGTTTTGTTTTGTTTTCCTTTGGTGCTGAGGACTGGACTCAGGTCTTCGCACATGGTAAGCATGCATGCTACCACTGACCTACACCCCAAACCCTACCAGCAATTCTTATGAAACAGGTGCTTATTCATTTACTGAATCACAATAAAGATATTTATTAAGTGCTTTTTTGCATCTGAGGCTAACCATTGAGATACATCAACAAATCTGTTGTGGAACTTAATCAGAAAATCCAAAGATATCAAATTAACTTCTTAGAAGGTTACAGAACAGAGTATTGTGAGGCACTTAAGAAATCTTATGTTTTAAGATAATTCTCAAGATAAGGCTTTAGCCATTAGTTGCTCATGGTAAAACCAAATGGAGTGCAAGAAAGTTTCCTACTCGGATGGCATTTTTTTTAATTGGCACAGATTGTGCTTTGTTAAGTTTAACTTTGTTAAGTTAAGAACAGTTACTTCTAACAAGTTTTTGTTGTCATTTTGTTGTGTTGTTTTAGGCAATAATAGGATTGAACTGAGGGCCTTCTTCTTGCTCTGGCTTGTTTGTTCAGCTGGTTTTCTAATGTTTAAACCACATCTCCAGACCTGCTTTTGCTCGTTATTTTGGGAATGGAGTCTAGAGAAGTTTTCTGACCAGGTTGGCCTCCAACAGTGATCCTCCAGAGCTTAGTCTCCTGAGTAGCTAGAATTAGAGGTATAAGCTACTGACATCCAGCTAATATTTCATTTTCTCCTTTTCACATTTGTTTCTTTATGACCACTTTCTCATTCATAGTATTGATAATTTGGAGAATTTTTTTCTTTTTCTAAACATTTTAACTTAATGTTTACCTATTTTGATGAGCTATTTCATGAGTTAGCTTTAGGTCTTCTTAAGTTTCCTCTACTCTGTTTTTCTCTTTCATTTAATTGATTTATGCTTTCTCTTCTAATTCTTCTGTTTCCACTAGGTTTTTACACATGCTTTTATTTTTCTCTTTTTTTTTTTACTATAAAACTCCAATTACACATAAGTTAAGTCACTTTATTTTTTCATAACTCACTGATTGTGCTTATTTCTTTTTCAGCTAATCTCTTTCTTTCATTTTGGACAGTGTCTGTGGTTCTGTCTTTAGTATCTAAGTACTATTAATAACACTCAGTGTTTTGCACTTTAGACACACTTCTATTTACCACAAGAAGTTTATCTGGGTTATTTTTACATCTCTAATCTCCTCTTGACAGACTGCTTCCTTGAACATATGGAATATGTGTGTATCAGCTGTTTTAATGTCACTGTCTACTAATTCGATCATATCATTTTTTGGGTCAGTAGCTAAAACATTTTTTTCTTTAATAAAGGAGTTCT